CGGCGACTGGGTTGGCCATGGCGACTTGCGTAGCCAGGGGAAGAAGGGCAGCGAGGATGAAGATGGGGGACTTCATGATGAAAAATTCGAAAGTTCTGATTTGAAAAGTTGAGTGTTTGATATGTTTAGAATTGATCTTGTCTGAAGGATGATGAAAAGAAAATTGTAGATGTTGGATTCAAGAGGCTTTAAGTATTGACGTGTGGATATTTTCTTTTTTATTCTCGGAAAGAAGAAAACATCCTTCAATCGATGTAAGAGTCATCATTTAAGCAATAATTAATTTGTTCTCATGACGGAAAGGCATGGAAGTCTTCCTTGATTCAATCCTTCCATGATCGTTGATGGCAACATGAAAAATTCATAACAGGATAGGTGATCTAGCTGCTGGAAGACTCGTTCCCGATTCGGAAATTCCAATAGCTGCCACAACAATCAGGTTCGTTCCGAAAGCATGAAAGTAGCTCTAGGTTAAGGATATCAATCTCTGCGAGCTGTTTGTGGCGGAGCCCCCCGGGACCAAATTATTCAACTAGGTGGTTCTCAATTTGGATTCGTCAGGTTCCAGGGATTGCATGGGAGAAAAAAAGCGAGAGCGAGAGCGAGATTGAATAAGCACAAGATATGGAAACTCTGAAACTGGAGTTGCGTGGTTGACAGAACAAGAATGCGATCTACGTTCGTATCTCGCAGCTGTGTTCCGCTGGCGATGGCGGGCTTGGCATACATCCGGGCTTGGCAGACGTAAACGACCGCTGCAGTCAAATGATCAGTTCGCCATCCGGAGTCGCCAAGCTAATATTGATTTTTTCTTTCATTCAACTTGTTTTTCTTTATTCATCCGTGGTATGACAGTTCATGAAATCATGTAAGGGTGATTGACTTTGAGACATGGTCGATTCTATTTCCCTGTTTACAGAATCGCCGACTCGAGAATTCCCACTCAGCCCCCTTCCTAGCATATCTGATAGCACTGGAGCTCTGCAGAGAATATTTAGGCTGTTTCCTCGATCGGCGTGGGTAGAGATGCTGATGTGCCTTGATCCCCGCTGGCCATACCCGCTCTCTTATGATCCTCCCACAGAATTTCTACATTGTAGCTTTAGCATGGGTATTGAGGCTCTTTGCTTGCCTTATGCTTGCGTCTGAGTCAGCTCACCCCCTCCTTTTGTCGTTCGTTATTAGTTTGTCACCAAGATTACTTTTGTGATTGCCTTGGATGAATTCAAAAGGTACTACGCGATGGTTTCACTCAACGAAAGGTCTGCATTCTACGGTCTAATACCGGAGCCTAGATATCCCCTGGCAGTGGTAGAGATTGGACCCTCCTTTGTCGTTGGCGATAAGCCTCCCGTTGATGTCCCACACAGGTACGGGCCAATCGATTGTTCGGGTCCGCCGAGAAACGAGAGGAAAACAGCTTCATCTGCCCAAGAGCCGAGGAGCAAAAGCCGGAAGTATATGGACTGAGCAAGTCGCGTCTTTGATCACTTCCACATTGCTAACACGACGATTCATGAGAGCTATGGGTTACTTTGCCACGGAGTGGATGGTCCACGGGCCGTATATTGCCCCTTTAGCCCCGTGTCCTGGCCAATATTCTCTCTTATCAGCCTCGCGCCAACGCGATAAAGTTCACCGACGTAGGTTTTCGGTATCTCCTGGTGCTCGAGACGAAATTAGCAAGGTCACGGAGAGCCAGTCATTCAGACGAGTCAAAATGACAGATTGACTGAGCTCCGCCCACACCTAACAGAAATCACACATGCAAGGATTCTTGTCCTTAGAGAACAATAGAAAATTCAAACGGAACAAAATGATGTTAGAAAATGATAGGGCCTATATAGGTAAGGGTGTTTCATATAGCGGACGAACGGGATGTATGGTAGGCTTAGTCCATTTGGACAGAACCTCGAATAGCTGCTTTCGAAACGGCGTAATGATGAACCTTCACGGCCACTCAAATAACACTGAAGGTAGAAATCAGGACCAAGGTTTGCATTGAACGCTCCACTATAGTCCCATTGCATCCAGAGTGCATTGCTTCAAGCACAAGCCCCATTGTGGGTTGAAGATAGTGCCTGGGAATACCTGGCTCTTCTGGGAACTATGGATGCGATCCTGGGGGCACGAGCAGTGCTGCTATTACAATTCGCTTCAAGGAACTTCCATTCTCCGCGACGCATTCTCGTGCTACAAGCTGCCCTGGTGGGTTCAGGTACGATGGTTACCGTGTAGCGGCACGACGCACGATATAAACTCGCCTGACCGCTCTTTTCACGAGGCATCATAACCCAAAGCGCGATTATATTGCCATATCCTTGCTCGTCATCCCAATATTCACCATGGTTCGTAACGGACATCCTTTGTGTTGGCAACTACATACTAAACTAGAGGCAGCCCTATCTGCGAGGTCTACCCAACCCAATCTTATACAGAGTTGCAGTATATCTCAAGAGCAGCGAGATATTTGCTCTTGCGAGATCATGTCGAAATCTCCAAACCAGGCTACTGCCGATCATACTTATAATCAACGTTGAATATCAAAACAGCAATTTCCTCAGCCTCGCTGCCATGAACAACGACGTTGACCTCGCCGAAAGTCTCCTATATCACAGGGCAGACGCCAATGCGTTCTTTTGAAGAAAGACCCTGGTGATAAGGGCTCTCAAGTACTCATCCTCTAACCTATTACAGCTCCTGCTGGAAAGCCCTACGCTGGATATCAAACTCCAAAACCAGGCGCAAGAAAGAGCGCTATGGTATGCTGTCACATACGGAACTTGTTCTGCGGTACAGAGCTTACTACAGGTCCTAAGGGTACAAGTTGACCTCCCGCACAGGCGAGGACGAACGGCCCTCCATCTCGCGCTCTGGTGGGGTAAAACAGGCCTGGTATATCTGCTCCTCTCCAGTAGCAGCGATCCTTTCACTACAGATGACTTTGGCAAGTTACCCCGCACATGGGTATGGCGTATCGGATAGCCGTCTACGAAATAGATCTTTATAGGCCCACAGGAAGCTGGGCACTCGCTCTCTTTCTACAGGCCATCTGCCGGTGATTAAACCACTGATGACAGTAAGCTGCCGCTCTACCAAGCAGTAGCCCATGGATCTGCAGACGCTGTTAAGCTACTCCTGACACAGAAGGAGCTGGCCCTGGATACTTAGGATTACAACGGAGATACTCCACTCTACCTTGCTGTTTGATGTCGGTGTCTGGTCTCCTCCCTCGCATATCCCATACTACTCATTTTGCCTTTGTCCGATTGGATCCCAGTTCCGTTATCAGGACCGGAGCCTGACGATTTCACCACCTCCTACCATCCGTGCCGTAAATGGGTTGACCTTATCGGGAATGATTGTCATCCTAATATCTCCTCGGAGGTTTTCGCGCCTTCATTTCCTGGCAGGAACTAACTGGGTTACCATGTCATCTATGCCTCCTTTCTAAGCCAGTACGACCCAAGAGTGAGCAAATGATCATATTCTGGCTTGGCACATGGTGAGATGTTGCATCCTCAAGAGACCTAAGCCCTTTTTTTTTCGTGACCAGTGTCGGAGATCCAATCGGGATTATTCTGCGCAATTGAATTCACTCGAAAGTCGAGTCATATCACTCCAGATAGGAGACTATTGAACTATAAGTAGTGAGGTCCGAAATTTGAATTCGAACCAAATCATATTTCACTTTACAATTCCACAAACTCTTTCTGTCTTTTCCCGTCGTTGTGCTACCGTCAGCATAATGACAATCACTATCACTGTTGAGAGAGATGGCTTCTATGAGGTCAATGGAATGCGCCATGAGCCTAGTGTCTCTCTTTATGTCATTCCTGCTGCGTCTAAGCTGCGCCGAATGCTGAAGGACTCCAAGGACCTCATTGTCTGCCCAGGAGTTTACGATGGCCTGTCTACTAGAAATTCCATGGAGCTAGGCTTCAAAAGCATGTATATGGTATGTCATGCGTTCTGGTTGCTGGGCCTTAGACCATAGCTGATGTCAATAGACTGGTGCCGGTACAACTGCTTCACGACTTGGAATGGCAGATCTGGGTCTAGCTCAGCTTCATGACATGAGAACCAATGCGGAGATGATTGCCAACCTTGACCCATTTGGTCCTCCTCTTATTGCAGACATGGATACCGGTTATGGAGGTACGTCTAGAAGGGCTTGCTCAAATAATACAACTCAACATGGATGTGGAGCTGACATGCTCAATTGCAGGGCCTCTGATGGTGGCCAAGTCTGTGCAGCAGTACATTCAGGCTGGCGTGGCTGGATTCCATATCGAGGACCAGATCCAGAATAAAAGATGTGGCCACCTTGCCGGAAAGAAGGTGGTGGGCCGTGAAGAGTACCTGACGCGAATCCGGGCGGCCAAGTTGACCAAAGATCGCCTGCACTCGGATATTGTCCTCATCGCAAGGACTGATGCCCTCCAACAACATGGCTATGAGGAATGCATCGCCCGCTTGACAGCAGCGCGAGACATTGGGGCAGACGTAGGTCTTTTGGAAGGGTTTACATCGAAGGAGCAGGCACGCCAGGCAGTGCAGGATCTTGCCCCCTGGCCTCTTCTCCTCAACATGGTAGTAAACGGTGCCACTCCAGTGATTACCACCAAGGAGGCGGAAGAGATGGGATTCCGAATCATTATCTTCTCATTCGCTTCTCTTGCCCCGGCTTACATAGGCATTCGGTCGGCTTTGGAGCGCCTGAAGACTGACGGGGTGGTCGGAACGCCTGATGGGCTTGGACCTATTAGATTGTTTGAGATATGTGGACTTATGGACTCTATGAAGGTGGATACAGGGGCAGGAGGCGATGGCTTTGTGGACGGTGTCTAAAGAGTGATGAGCAATTGTTGATTGGATTTCTGTTCTTCCTCTTGTTTCGTCGCTAAATAGAGCCAAATCCTTGGTAAAGTTTTTTTGAACTTTGAAATCACAACTAGCCCCTACTTAAAGTGAACGACTGGAGAAATCCGCGGAGAGATTCAGTTTCGGTGACAGTCGCAAGGATCCGGCTCGATTGGTTGGACGACTTCCTTCTCCACAGTGATCCAATTATCGGAGATTCCCTTGCAGTGCATCGGCCATATACGTTGCGAGACAGTCGTTTCAGTAGAGGATACCTCGGTCAAACTCCGCATTCGTTCTTCGAGGAAAGGTGTTCCCGGGCAGCTCCAACGGAAAAAGTATACAGATGCTTGACGCTCAAGTCTCAGCTTGAACCTCGCGCATTCCAGTAGCAGGTCTTTCAATTGATGCTTCCTTTTCTTCGTATTTGTGAGAGTATATAACCCGGAGAGTTCCTCTATGTTTTGTGTGTAATCTGATCACAAATATCGCCAAGTGCTTCCCCCGCGAGAGATGCCACTGCAAGGCTAGTGGAAACACGCCAGTGTTGCCAAACATGCGGTGGGACTGATATTATTAACACAAAGCCCCAAATTATGGTCAGGTACGCTAAATTACAAGCTCTTAATACTTTGGTGTCAACTTCATAGAAAATTTCGTCATAGAATCTGCCTGGGAGGCCAACTATTCAGCGGGATTTTCTCGGAGATGGTTGCCTGAATAACCTGAATAGTAAGAGCAGTATTCTTGTAGCTAATCAGAGCTCCATCAAGACTAGCATTTCTTGTAGACGGTGCTGCATGGAATACTTGGTTGAAATGCCGTTTGGTCCAGTCCTCCAAGCCCTAAAAAATCCTGCGCCTAACTTCAACGACCTCACCATCGTCAACGCTTTCAGCCCATTTTTGAAGCTTGGTAAGTTTGGCCAATGTCTGAGATTTCTCTTCAAGTACAGTCTCTGCATTTTTGCGTGGCCCTAGGAGTAGCTCATAATTTCGTCGAAGCCTCTCCGCTCTGATCAATTGCGCCATCCGTGCCGATTTTGCTGTCTCTCGGTAATTCCTAGCCTTTTCATTAGGCTTTGATCTCTGTTCGGGGGTTGGGGTCTACCGGCTTTTTACCCATCCTGAGTCCAATGCCTGTTGTGCTGTCGCTCTTTCACTATTTCGCTGATCCCAAAGGCTTTATAAGAAGCAATTGGAGCTACTATGAAGTGGATCCTGATCAGGGGTTTGGTACTTTTCTCGCGTGGTGTATTAAATTGGCTGGTGCAAAAGAATGGAGTACTGGAAGCCATTTGCGATATGCGGGCTTAAATATTAAAGACCCAGGAAGTTGCTACGCAAGGTCTTGGTTGAGTGCGACTGGCGCGCTTTTACAATGCAATGACTGTTTGTCCTAAGCCGATTACTGCAGATCAGACGACAAGCAGATATCTGGTCAATTCTTTCATATTGGGGAAGTATCTTATCTCAAATGTGGACCGGGATTTCCTAGCCATCACGAGGACTCACAGCTGCAAGGGCAATTAAGGTCAAACAAATGATGGAGCCGATCTCACCGAACGAAATGAACTAGCAGAGGTTCTCGCAGTGGTCTCTGATTGACGGGGGACACCTGTTGCTGCGATGGAAAATGCTTGAAATTTATTTTTCCCACGTCTTCCGCTTGTAGATATGTCGGGATTTGTAAATAATCCCATCGATACGATAAACTTACAAATTGCCGACAAGAGTAGCGAGAAGGGAGGGCCGATATATTGATATCCAATGGCACCAATAAAGCTTCCCAATAGCAAGCAACAGATAAAGAAGAATCTCCGATTCCGTGGTCGATTCGCCGAGGTTGCTATACGTGGATCAATGATGAGATCAATGTATGCTGAGGTCACCATTGCCGTGGGAATCTCTGGAACGTTAACTGTTCTTGCGACAGCTATCTGGGCCCCGCTTGAGAATGCAAGCAACGAAATGACTCCAAGTGAGCCGGAAGTGCCGTCAAATGTAGTAGACTTCCATCTCAAAATCGTCGCTACTACAACCAGTGCTGTTTGAAGTAGATTGGTTAATATAAGCCAGAGCCGTCGCCGAGGGCCCAATGCATTGCCAAGTTGACCTAATATCAACCCACCAGCGACAAAGAGAAACGAAAACGTGGTAATCCGGAAAGGTCGTCGCGTCCATGATGCCTGTTGCTAGAGTAAGGCCCATGAGCCCAAGTTCAAGAATTATGTCATCGCCAATTTCGTCATTCAGTCGAACAAATATTCGGTTCGCCATGGCCGAAGAGGTGGAGCCAGTTATCTTGCACATCGTAAAGGTCGAGAGCGATCGTTGAGAAGACTCATATATTATCAAAAATATGCAAGGGATGTTTGGGAATAGAAAGGGAAAAATGGTTGGGAATTTCAAAATTTATCCATCACTACGGTTAGCTTGGAATTTTGACAGCTTCGACGAACATATACGGTCGAAGTAAGGAAACTGACGTCAGCTTCCGCAACCTTAAATTGAATCCGTGACTCAAAGGGAGCCCCCGTCACCTCCCCACAAACCAAATGACGAGGACTGCCGAAAGTGGAATTAAGACTGAGTGAAGCGGTGAAGTACGTGCTCCCACAGAAGCAGTCCAGGGAACGCCCATGACGCATTCGACAATTTCGTGCGTCCTTGCCCGAGGAGTCAGTTGCTGCAACAGACAGCAATTAATTGTGTCCTGCATCAATTAGATGCAGAGTTTGAAACCGGGCATCCTTGGTATACAAGGTTATTGGGTTTGGCATTGAGGCGCAGTCAAACGTCCGCTCCACCCGTGGGTTTGTGGTCGCAAACCTTAAGCCGTCATACCCGATCTCGAAAGAAATGATTCGCTACTGACTGGTTCCAGACATCTTGAACTTCTGCAGCCTTCAATGACCTGCACATCAAGGGTGGGAATACAGGTTCAAATCAATGCCAGATGCCAAATGGACAGCTCCGGCGCCTAAAATCTGACGGCGAGTCGGGCACATACGTACTATTTAATCTTCATACCGATGACGATCTGGCCCATCCAGCTGGTACTCATACCTTGCTCGCCTCCTCCAATGCTCTGCAAATTACCATGATTTCGGGTATGCTAGCCCGATACGCCACCTACTGTGTTTTTTGGCCGCTAATCGAAACCGTGGATGAGAAAGGTTGCCTCTGCCTTGGCATTTTCTTGTTAGCAAGCGCTCACAAACATCATCCATAGCTGGCCTGGTTCTCTCTCGGCGGTAGCTCTGGGCAAAGTACACAGCCCCTTCTAGGAACAAAATGAGGAGAATAACAGAATCCGATATCCCCATCACTTGAAGCGAACCCTCAGCGCAAGAAAAAGAGGGAAAAGAAAAGCTATCCGTTGTATAAACCTTTATAATTGAAAGAACACGACTTCCGGTCCGTAGTGATACCTACATGGCTTCGTCTTCTCGTAACGATTCGTCACAACAGGGCTCATTCCTAAGCCCTGTTGTCATGAAAAATCCTTCTGGCAGAGAGGTGAACAGATGAATTTAAATGTCCAGCGACAAGGATACTGTACTAAACTCTTATTCGCAGCGCTCGCTCTCTGTTGCATCTACAGCAGGATCATCTTCATGGACTGGTGCGACGGCGGACCTTATCCAAAGCCCAATGTCTCCAAGATCATCCTTCCCGCCAGACATAGCGTTGTATTCGGATCCAGATCGCCTCACAGTTTCTCATGCCTCGCATCGACCCTTGATGTCTATTGACGGCTCCACGCTGCGTCCACAGTCTATTTCGTTTGCGTCGACCGTGGACGCATCCGTTCGCTCGGGGGCTGGCTCAGATACTGGTTATCAAGCTCATATGGATCACGCAGTATATGATGATGCGCCATTTCCCGAAGCATTAATGCCAGACGCTCGTGATAAGGCCGATTTCAACGTTGATAATAATCGCTTTGCATTTTCGCCGGGTCATCTGAATAAGATGCAGAGCCCCAAGTCTCTCGCTGCCTTCCATGCCCTAGGTGGCTTGCAAGGTCTGGTATGGGGACTGCGGACGGACATTAATACTGGTCTGTCAGTTGACGAGAGTCGCCTGGACGGCACAATCGATTTTCAACAAGTGTCACCGCTATATAACAGGAAGTCTTCTATCAGCAAAGCTTCCCTAGAAACCGAGTCCACACTCATCTCGGCACCAGTAGCAACTGGCAATGGCCTACTTTTTGAAGACCGCATCCGTGTCTTCGGCCAAAATCGGCTTCCCGCTCGAAAGTCCACTGGGTTCTTGAAGCTCTTTTGGATTGCTTATAATGATAAGATTATTATTTTGCTGACTATCGCCGCTATTGTGTCTTTGTCCCTGGGAATATATGAGAGTGTGGATGGGGGCACGGGCGTTGAGTGGGTGGAAGGGGTGGCTATTTGCGTGGCCATTTTGATCGTCACCATCGTCACGGCTGCCAACGACTGGCAGAAGGAAAGACAATTTGCGAAACTAAACAAGCGAGTAAGTGATTGGTATTGACGGTCAAGTTTCCCTACGCGCTAACGGTTGCGATAGAACGACGACCGCGAGGTAAAAGTGATCCGCTCGGGCAAGTCTATGATGATATCTGTTTACGATATCATGGTCGGCGACATCCTGCATCTAGAGTCTGGAGACTCCATCCCTGCTGATGGTATCTTGGTATCTGGCTATGGCGTGAAATGCGACGAGTCATCTGCTACAGGCGAGTCAGATCAGATGAAAAAGACCAACGGACAGGACGCCTGGCTGCAGATTATTGAGGGTCGAGCGACAAAGAAGCTTGACCCTTTTCTGATCTCCGGAAGCAAAGTTCTTGAAGGAGTGGGCACATATCTGGTTACTAGTGTCGGTCCATATTCCACGTATGGTCGGATTATGATGTCACTGCAGACGTCGAACGACCCCACTCCGCTCCAGGTGAAGCTAGGACGGCTTGCAAACTGGATTGGATATCTTGGCTCAGCGTAGGTTCCGGCCCCACTAATTGTTTTAGACATATGGCGAGTTGATATTGACGATACGTCTAGTGCTGCCATTATACTATTCTTTGTCCTCTTGTTCCGATTTATATCCGACCTTCCGAATCACCCCAATACGGGCCCTGCTGAGAAGGGCAAGGAATTCGTAGATATTTTGATTGTTGCCGTGACTGTTATTGTTGTTGCCATTCCAGAGGGCTTACCATTGGCAGTGACGCTTGCCCTGGCTTTTGCCACAACCCGCATGGTAAAAGAAAACAATCTCGTTCGAGTTCTTCGTGCCTGTGAAACAATGGGCAATGCTACCGTGATTTGCTCTGACAAAACAGGCACTTTGACCCAGAACAAGATGACCGTGGTCGCTGGTACCTTGGGCTCCGATCAAACGTTCGGCTTTGCGTCGGAGACTGATAATGATAGGGGTACGCAGACCACGTCGGAGGTCTTTCAACGGTGCTCGCCCTTGGTGCGCAGTCTCATCACTAAGAGCGTTGCATTGAACTCGACTGCATTCGAACAGGAACGAGATGGCTGCAAGGAGTTTGTGGGGAGCAAGACTGAAGTCGCACTTCTGCAGCTTGCACAGGTCTATCTGGGCATGGATCTTGCATCAGTGCGAGGGTCTGCTGAAATTATTCAGCTTATTCCGTTCGACGCCGCACGAAAGTGCATGGGTGTTGTATACTTTCAATCTGATGCAGGATATCGCCTCCTTGTCAAGGGGGCAGCCGAAATTATGGCTAATTCCTGCAGTATGAAAATCACCGATATTGATATGTCTAAAGAGAAAGTTCATGTAGAGTCACTGGAAAAGTCTGACAGACAAAATATCATGAGGACCACCAATCAATACGCCCAAGGATCTCTTCGGACAATTGGATTGGTGTACAGGGATTTTGATGTCTGGCCACCAAAGCAGGCTCAAAAATTTGATGACGATCCGTCTGCCGCTAACTTCGATGATGTCTTCCGAGACATGACTTGGATTGGAGTTGTGGGAATTCAGGACCCTCTTCGACCCGAGGTTTTGCCGGCGATCCGCAAGTGTCATTCTGCAGGAGTGCAGATCAAAATGGTGACGGGGGATAATGTTGCCACTGCCATCGCTATTGCATCATCCTGTGGAATCAAGACTGAAAATGGGCTGGTCATGGAAGGTCCTCAGTTTCGGCAACTGACAGATGAGGAGATGGACCTTGTGATTCCCCGCCTGCAGGTGTTGGCGCGTTCATCTCCCGAGGACAAACGTATATTGGTGGCACGGCTCAAGGCTCTTGGCGAAACAGTCGCAGTCACAGGGGACGGCACGAATGATGGGCCTGCTCTGAGGACCGCGGATGTGGGCTTCTCCATGGGAATATCTGGCACTGAGGTTGCCAAGGAAGCTAGCTCCATCATCCTTTTGGATGACAACTTCAAGTCCATCATTACGGCCATTGCTTGGGGACGAGCGGTCAATGACGCTGTTGCCAAGTTTTTGCAGTTCCAGATCACGGTCAACATCACGGCCGTTATCTTGACCTTTGTTTCGTCTGTGTCCAATAGCTCTAATAGCAGTGTCCTGAACGCTGTGCAGCTGCTTTGGGTAAACCTGATCATGGATACTTTTGCGGCCTTGGCCTTGTAAGGAGCCGTCATTTTTTTTAACTTTTTTGCATAACTAATATAAAGTGCAGAGCCACCGACGCTCCCACAGAGAAAATCTTGAATCGCAAACCTGTGCCTAAAAGTGCTTCACTGTTTACTTTGACCATGTGGAAGATGATTCTTGGACAGACAGTTTACAAACTGGCTGTTATCTTCATCCTCTACTTCGCCGGAGACAAACTTCTCGGCGCGCACCTCGATAATTCAGATCTTGATCATCGATCAAAGCAATTAGCTACAGTCGTCTTTAACACATTCGTATGGATGCAGATCTTCAACATGTTCAACAATCGTCGCCTCGATAACAAATTCAATATCTTCGAAGGCATGTTCCGAAACTACTGGTTTCTGGGCATAACCGCCATCATAATTGGTGGCCAAGTCATGATCATATGCGTTGGCGGCGCGGCCTTCGGCGTGACCCGAATCAGTGGCATTCTCTGGGCCATTTGCCTTATATGTGCCCTTGGGTGTCTTCCATGGGCCGTCATTCTGCATATCATTCCAGATCGTCATTTCGGAGTTCTATTTAACGCAGTAGTTGACGGGATGACGCTTATATTGCGGCCGTTCCTGAAGGGAACTAACGCCCTTCTTCGCAGCACGAAAATATTTCTGTTGCCTTTGAAACGATTTACCCATCGGGTCTTCTCTCGGCACAAAACAGAAAATGATGATTCAACGACTCACGAGCTATCTAGTGTGTCAATTGCCGATGAAGAAACACCTACTCTACCTGAGCCCACTCAAGAGGAAAACACTGAGCGGCCACAGACACCACCGGGGTTAGCGGTGCCCCCGATTACTTTTACGGTTTCACCTTGACTTAATGTATTTTATTGCCACAGAGCATTATTATTGGGGGGGGCTAGCGTTGATTTTAATTCCAGCACTCGTACATAGAGCATATGGGGAATGTACTAGTAGGATACTAGTAGAATGCCCCTCGGCTTGTGAATGCTCTCATAAAAGAAAAAAAAGATCAAATAAAATAATTACCCAATATCAGTTCCTAGATAGCGTCTCTCACCTGGCGGAACCTACAACGCGTTTTTAATCGTAACAAGATTATCGTGGAGCGCGTAGATCTCTAACGAGAAAGTTAGTCGAATGACAGCTGCTCGTGCACCTCTACGGTGAAAATATACTAAGCGACATGTTAAAACGTTCGGCCACTCCGGTATACTCAACGTACGCGATTCCAATCGATCAATTGCTACTAGGAAGACAGATGAAGCTAAGAAGGAGAGGTGGCTGGATAATCTCTACAAAAAGACGCAAAAGCAATCGCCGCCAAAGGGATTTACAGGAGAGTGAGGCATCAATCGAAGCAGCGAGAGCAGGTAAAGAGGCAAGAGAGTTTTTTTTTTATTTGATTCGCATCCAATGCGTTGATAAATATTGTGATTTGCGTCAAATTGGTGACTACGGTGAAAACGGTGAAAACGGTGAAAACGGTGAAAACGGTGCAAAGCGGGGAGGCAATGCTCGAAGCGGCACGATCAGAACGTGCGGGTCGAATGGAGCGTCGGATATGGCATCGAATGCCACCACCACCATGCAGCACTCTGTATAGACAGCAGGGACGAAATGCGAGTGAGTAGAGTGTGCATTTCTGGGGGATTTATACGAAAAATGCGAGGGTAGGTGGCATTGACATATAATATTTGTTGCTAGTAAGCTATTATTTTTTGGACCCTACTAATAGAATTGAGTCTTGTTTACTCTATTCTGTTATTCCTATCTAGAAATATTTATGCTTATCTAAGTATATAGTAATTATAATCTAAGAATTAACTTAATGCTGATTCTTATAGACTAGGTTAAGGAAAGAGAAGCTACTTCAGCGCTAATAATCACGAGATCACTATCTTCGATAAATAGCCCTAGTCAGAAAAAAGATATAAACTATTAACTATATAGAGATAATAAAAGGGGGAGCAGAACTATTAGATATATTTATAGGTAAAGCCAGACTAAGTGTCACGGGATTCGAAGTATACGATACCCCGGACTCTCGAGGCCGATTCATGGACGAATTCCCTTTGAGTCACCTACATATCGATATCCACCCGAACCCTAATGTATTTAAGATCCCACAAGCATTCAGGATTCTTAATCTTCTCAAGAATCAGTCTCTGTATCGACTGCCTAATCTGATCATTACCGTCCGATATCCTTGCCTAGTAACAGGTCTCTAGCCTGACAACTTAGTAACCATTACACTATTATAGTTAAAGAATAGCTAGTGTAAGATGGGAATGCTCGCTGTGGCAGTCTGCGTTGGCAGACGGGTCGATCGCAAGAGGACAACACCACCACACTCGAAGAGTGCCGGAGAGAGAGAGAAGTAGACAGTGCGTGACGCTATAGAGATGCGACTAATAAGACATTCGAGTCTTCATGGACATGCGATATACCGATACCGTAACCTCAGCCTCAGTAACCTCCGCAGGAAGAATAATTCATAAGGGGGAACACACATGTTGTTATTGATACTATCGAACGAACGCTACTTATTCTTCCGAAACGATATGGCTGCCTTGTTACTAAGGCCCCAATCACCTGACTATGGGATACCGGTGTTGAGAGCGGAATTCCCCATTACATACCACCCTCCCTGAAAAATTGACCGTCCTTTGGTCAATTCGAAACAAAAGAAACAAAAGAAACAAAAGAAACAAAATATCAGATAGCACCTCCGACAATCATTCTATGCTTCATCCATTAATCGGCACCTAGCCGCCATGAGGATGGCCAACCTCCGCCTCAGGAGTAGGTTGCTGCATGCTCGATAGTGGTTGAGATTCAGCAGGAGCATGAACAGGCTCATCGGGCAACAGACCCAGTTCTTGGTCGTCAACAAGCATGCCCTTCTCAATACGGTAGAAGAATGAGTTTTTGCCGTATTCCTTCTTCTCTAAGCGTTTGGTCAGTTCGAAGCAGCGTAGGTACTCATACCAAGCTTCCTCTCGCCAGTCGCGAACCATTGCTCTCGCAACCTCAGGGTCTTTTCCAAAGAGATCATCTAATTCCATGCATATGGAGGGACTATCCCATCTCTGTCGGCCTACCAAACAATTCGGAATCCCGTGTCGGGCCGTCCGGAAATGTACTCCGGCAGCAAAGGGAAACGGGATTGTACCATACCGAGAAGAGGAATAACCGGAGGGCGTCTTGGATGCAGGCATTAGTGTACGATGAGCCTCTGCCAGCTCCTCCCAGGTATTCGACTCTGCACAGTCCAGAGTTTCATGGTCATCCTGGATCGCTGTGTACCACGGGAGTCCGGTTCGGCGTACTCGTGTGGCAGGGCCTGTCGATCCATGAGGCAACATAGGAAGAGAAAGTCGCACATCACCGACACCACAAACCTCCGTTGTCCATTGGGTGCCATATGTTTCCTCATCCTCCTTCCTCCACATGAAAGGTTTGATACCCGAGATAAAGCCGTCTCCAACGGGTCCACGGGACTGGATATCCTTCCACCATTTTGCCAGACGTTCTGTCTTATGCATACCTTTCAGCAGTACGGTACAGTTCTGTTCGTCCTCTTGCGTGAAAGATACTGATCCTTGTAGTAGGCTACTACCTCTCTGGCTGTCAAGATAATCCTGGATATTGATGTCAAGGTGCCGGAACTCAGTGTGTTCGCCAGCCTGTGTACTTTTTATGTAATAAGGATGCGAGATCAGACGCCATGCATGGTCTGGCCGGAAAAAGACATATGCCATGTAGTAGGACAGGTCTTGTCGAATCAACTGCTGAATGTTCGAGTGCCACATGCCGCGAAGCCACCCAAGCTCTTTTGTTGCATCGCTTAGATGATAATGGTACATTCGAAATTCCTGGTGAATAAGCGGCCATAATCCTTCCGGGTGTCGTCCGTCGAGATCCTCTCCAAGCCATGAGAAAAGGTTCGGCAATACCGTACTGCCATCGTTGTGCATGTCATTTGCCGGGCTAATGTCTGGAGCCTCTCCTGCATAGATCCTGTCGATCAAAGTCTCCACCGATAGCCATTCAGTACAAGACACAAAGTCAGAGATAAGCGGAGCATGATGCTGAGGGCGGAAGCGATGGAAGCCGAGACTGTTTTCCTGCCGGAAACTGAACCATCGGGGGTGATCTTTCATGAATTGATCCCATTTACCAATGTGCTGATATGACAGGGCGACACGGTTGACTAATTGCTGATGGTTTTTCGAAGCACTCGTCATTTGTACCGCATCAACTAATGCTTTAGCATGTTGGTTGCAGAGGGTGCTGATCGTGATGCCTTCTGACCTCGCTAGTCTTCTGCCAATCATACGCAGAGCAATCAGTCCGTTCCTTCGTTTCGAGAAGTCTTTGTCCTTGAGGGCTCTAACCAATGTAGTCGGGCGTAGCAAACATCCACATTTTGCACGTTCGTTGGTCGAAACAAGGATTTCATCATCACTCTCTTCAGCAGCAGGATCAGTTTGTGCATGTTGCGGAGACTGTTCGGCATCTGGGTGGTCATTTTCACTCTCTGATTCAGTGTCGGTATCAATATCCATTACATCAGTCATCTTCGGGGCGTCGATTAGGTGTACACTATCAGCTTCCTCTTCCTCATGATCCATATCTTGATCCTCAGATTCTTCAGCAGCAGTAATGGTTTCTGGCCGCGAACCACTCTTCTCAGGGGAAGGAGGCAAGGTAGTAGCTCGAGGTTCGATCAGAGGGAGGTCAAAGCCTTCGCCTCTCGGGCAGACGAAACCATCCTGATCTAGTTGGAGACCTGCGCGATCCAGTTGATCCTGCGTTATCGGCGACAAGATACGGCAGTTGTAGGTATTGGTCAGGTCGCTAGGTTCCATATGCTTTGATTTCAGGCTTCCGCTTCCTTTTCCGAAGGTACACCGCTTGATGACATAGTTGTTGATCGAGAGTTTGACATCATCGTAGGACATATCGGTATTCAGCAGCTTGCTAACCTTCTCCGAGAACGCGCGGTTGATGACCCATTGAAAGAACTCCGCTGTATTTCTGCCTGCCGGATTGCCGTTATCCCACTTCGTGAGCGCACGTCGCCGATGTCCTTCGATCGTCATGGCATCCTTCTCCTTTCTTTTCTGCAGCTTGACGGCATCTTCCCATTGCTGCTGGAACTCTGCATGACTCTCATGATGCCCTTTCCATAGTTCCTCAGAACTAACATAGTCGAACAATTTGCAAATTCCATCTCCAACAACCTTGTGGACTTCATTCAGCTTCCCATAACAATGGAGTGCCAGGTCATATTTGTCTTTCTGTTGACAGCCTTGCAGGGTTTTGATCATATCATCAATTGTATGAACCTTTGTTCCATTGATGATCAGTCCTTCCGGAATTGGCATCGACATTCTTGCGGTTCTTACAGCGGTCTGGGTAACAGGCACGAGGGTATTCATTTCGGATGTGGACATGGCTGCGACGTTTTATGTTCAGTTCTCGGAAGTGAGGGTGAAAGGAATCGGACTTCTGCAAATGTTTCACGATGCTGGTTGAATCTGTCAAAGGCGTAGGATCGAATGAGGAAATGGTAAGCGAGGCCTTCAAAGAAACAAAGGATCTGCAAGATTCAAAGGGCTGCATGAACAAAGGAACAGGTTCTTTCCCCTCCTCCTTATTCGACCGTCCCTTGGTCGAATCGCACGTTCTCGAATGGCTAGGGCGCCTCGGCTGGTTCTTTGTAGTTCCTGAATGGTTCGATGGTATTGGGCGAGGGTCAAAGCGGGTTTTGAAATGATGGAATGGACGAAGCAATGATGAAAGAAGATCGGAAAGGGGAGGGGGGGTTGAAGAAGTTGAAAGTGAAA